GGAGCGATTAACCCAGGGCCAGTCGAACACGCTATTGGCTCCTGCACACAGGACGCAGTAATGCTTGCCGTGCGGCGGAAGTTCGCGCGACAGCCAATCAATATGCTGCTTTTCGTAATAACCTTCTAGCTCTTACGGAAAAACAACATATTGATTGGCTGTCGCGCGAACTTCCGCCGCACGGCAAGCATTACTGCGTCCTGTGTGCAGGAGCCAATAGCGTGTTCGACTGGCCCTGGGTTAATCGCTCCGAGAGCGATAGTCATAAGTCTCTACTAGCCAATCATAAAGCTTATAAGTACTTGTTCGACCAATAAACGTAGGCTGAATAACCCAGAGTGGATTAACCCAGAGCCAGTCGAACATGCTATTAGTTCCAAAGTCTCCGCTACGAGTCGCCACATTCCCGAACGAGCAATTGAGATTTTAGAAATGTACGGCTAAAAAGGCTAGTTTCTTATGGCCGACCTCTTTTTTATGTTAATAAAAAAAAATTGAGATCGTAGTACAACGAGAGAGAATGGCGGCCACCAACTTGATTTAAGATTGAGATTGAATTGAAAATTAGCCAATCAGAGCAAAGTTCACCAAACTTGAGTTTAGTGAATTTTGTTTTGATTGGCTAAATTTCAATTCAATCTCAATCCTAATCTATAGTCTGATACGGGTTTTAGATATACTTTTAGGCTGAAGTCCCATGGCATGTATTTTCCGCGTATCGCGTAACCAATAAATTGCGACGTTTAGTATTTCTGTTGGAATTTCTAAAAGAATAAAAAGATGTGATTGGTTACATGGTTACGCGTTATGCGAAAATACATGTCATGGGATTCCACCCTTGGGTGCGTTCAGATTCCTCATCCAGGTGCACTCTATTACTAGAAACACTACAGTATATGTTACATAAACTATAGCACTTCTAGTAATAGAATACACCCGGGTGAAGAATCTGAACGCAGCCCTTACTGTACCAGTTTAGTGGTGCAGCTCTTTAGCTGCACTACTGAACTGGTGCAGTAAGAGTGAGACAAGTATATCTTATCTCGCTCTAACTTATTGTTTTACAAATGGCGACCAATTATAAGAAGTTAGGGCCGTGGCACACAGAAAAACTTAAGCAGTAAGACGTAAACAGTAAGCGAATTAGCCAATCACAGTCGTTGATTTTTGGACCGTAAGAAGAATCAACGACTGTGTTTGGCTGATTCGCTTACTGCTTACGTCTTACTGCTTAAGTTTTTCTATGTGCCACTAGCTTAAACGTAGTGAAAATATATGGCGGTAGCGGCCATTTTCTCACATATATCGGAAACTCTATCGGATGCAAGCCATTATATGCTTTTAGATAGCCTGTTAGCAACCTAGTTTAGTATAGACATCTGTGGCTCTACCACACAAATAGTAGTGTTTCACATTCTCGTCGTACGAGGTCTCCCAAAGTCAAGTTCGAATCTGCTTTTGGCTCGTTGCGCGACTCTTAATTAACTTTTGTAATCTATTAATAATATTGAATTTGACTAGTATGAAGTAGTAATCAAATGGTAAGAATTTAATGTGAAAATGTCTATATTATATCACAAAAGTAGAATATTCTATTGGCCATTTGTATCTATTTGGAACGCCAAACATAACCTGTATATTTCTTTGATCACGTTTATATTTGTGGTGTTTCCGATTATTTGTTTCTTCTAGTTCACACGACGATGAATGATTCAAAACGTAAGTTACGTAGGACTAAGCCGGTTGACAACGCATGGTCGTTGAAAATACCACAATTTAAGAAGGAGGATAATCCTCATCGGCTGCTGGAGGAGAGCTCATTTGCGACCTTGTTTCCTAAGTACCGAGAACAGTATCTGAAGGAATACTGGCCATTAGTTGAAAAGGCGCTAGAAGAATATGCCATCACGGCACAACTTGACCTTATTGAAGGTAGCATGACAGTGAAAACTACCAGGAAAACCTGGGATCCATATATCATTATCAAAGCACGTGATATGATTAAACTCATGTCACGGTCAGTTCCATTTGAGCAGGCAGTAAAAGTTCTTCAGGATAATATGGCTGCTGACATCATAAAGATATCTTCCTTAGTCAGAAAAAAGGAAAAGTTTGTCAAGAGGAGACAAAGGCTCATTGGACCAAATGGATGTACCTTAAAGTCTATTGAACTACTTACCAACTGTTATGTCTTAGTCCAGGGCCAGACTGTGGCAGCATTAGGGCCTTATAAAGGTCTACAACAAGTGAGGCGAATAGTAGAAGATACCATGAAGAATATCCATCCTATTTATAATATCAAGGCATTGATGATCAAAAAAGAGCTTGCCAAGGATCCAAAATTGAAGAATGAAAGTTGGGAACGATTTCTACCCAAATTCAATAGTAAAAACATAAGCAAACGTAAACAACCACTGAAGAAAAAAGAGAAGAAACCGTATACTCCGTTCCCACCACCTCAGCAAGAGAGCAAACTTGATAAAGCAATGGCATCTGGTGAGTACTTCCTGAATGAAGAGCAGAAGAGAGCAAAGAGAAAGAAGGAACAAGATGAAAAACATAAAGAAGCAACTAAGAGAAGACAGGAGCGTCGAGCACAAGTATTTGTTCCACCTGAAGAAAAACCTGTTGAAAATAACATCATAAAAACTGATATAGACATTGAAGAAATAAAGAAAAAAGTCGAAAAAGGACTGAAGAAACATAAATCATAACAGTGTCATAATATAATATATAAGCAATTGTAAAAATTAAATTTTGTTAAATAAATAGAAATTCTTTTAAAGTCTGATACTTTGTGTCTTATATACAAAGTATGTCACACATCTATTTATAGTAATTTTATATGAAGTATTGCATCAGTAACTCTCTCTCTGAATTGATAAAGCGTTAGGTCTGACATGATTGAAGCATACATTTTACACAATTTTATTTTTATTTACGAAAGAACAGGAACAGTTAAAGTCAATATTAATGTAAAATAAAATAATTAGCCAGGAAATGTATATATGATTCAAAGTTCCTTAATACTCAATAAAACAAGAAAGAAATAGAATAAAGAAAAAACAAATGTAATGCCATGCAGAGTGAACATGAAAGTTATAGTTACACAATTGAAATCGACGAAACTATACGTATATTTTAATCTTATAACTTTAGATCTTTTTATCTATGATAGAAACTTGTATAATTCAATATAAACATATATTGTATCATAGAACTCCTATATTTTTTATATAGCCAAACTTGTATATGAAATTCTTAAGGAAAAATATAAGATTGCATGCAGATCAACAGAAATTGAAAAAAAATTAGTTGGAAAAAATTAATTGATTAATCGATTAATAATTTTCAATTGAAAGATAGAAGAAATGTGTTATATACAAAACCTAAAAAACATTTCAATTTATGTCACGTTCAACGTGAAGTGATATCTTCTAGAGAAGATTTACATCCATGATCAAAAAAACTTGTATTCGATCGTCATTGATGATATTTAGCACATATTTTGTTAATAAAATTTTATAATGGTTGTATGATCGTACAAGTATTAATTTACGGGAATGCCCCGTTATTTTATTAGAAATACTCGTTTTTATAATTACTGTTAATTATCGCATTCTTAACACGTATATGTATATATTTATATATAATTATTTTACATTTGCAAAATATAGAGCAGAGAAAATTTTAATGTTTAGCATTTTGAAGACGAATATACCGATATATAGAATTTATTGTATGTACATTTTTTAATGATATTTCTACCTACTAAATATATTACATAGAGTACTTAGAATATTTTTAATAATAGAAAATAATTTTTCATAGAAACAAAATTCTGCATTTTTGGGGAATTTTCTAAAAGTATGTAATATTATTTTTTTATATTACTATTAACCATATCCTTCTTTCAACTTCTACTTTCGATTCTCTGTTTTTGATGAGGATACTTTACACGACAGCTGAGTATATAGTCTTCAACATGCTAATACTTTGCGTGATTCGATGTAATGGCGATTTTAAATTCTACCGTTACTGTAATTCAAAAGTAGCAGATGTCAAATTGGCGCTGATTTATTTTATCGAGGTTTCAAAAGGTTCAAAATCCTTCTTTCTTATCGAACAAAATATCATTAACGTATGTATATTTGACAAGGTTGTAAATGCTCATTCAATGTACAGCGCTCTTATTCTATCTGCACCACAATTTCACTTCCCGGTACAAATTCGTATTACTGGACACATAAATATTAACATCGATTAGTTGCTCGCTATCTTAAGATTAAGATTGAGTTGTCTATTATATTACAATTTTATCGATCTTGGAAGTACGATGTTTCGTTAGCTTATATCTATACTTATGCCACGTGGATACATTTATGTACAAATAGACGAATATGGTTGTGTGCGCGGCAATCTCGCTTACGTGAGAAATGCACGGAAGCGACGGATAAGTATTGACGCTGGTAGCAAAACATACTACTCGAAATTGTTAGGACGGGAGGAAGATAATCGAATATAATTATATGTACAACGTGGCGAAATTTAGTCAGTTTGTAAGAGAATCTGCACGCTCGCGTTTATGCATACATACGCATGCATTGGGTATCCCTGGTTCTAAAATGCTTGTTCTTATTTACGATTTTTTTAATTAAGCCAGGTCAATTTCTTTCTCAAAGATATTCCTACACCAAAAGCAGCTATAGGCTATTTACGCACAGCAATATTTTGTTTCTTGATTAATATCAGAAGGACTAAACTTGTGAAACTTTAATATCAAACGCAATTGCCAAGGTGTTTAACATAAAAAAGTAAAATATTTCGTTAATTACGCTTTAAATCACTTTTAAAGTTGGGAACAAAGGCTGCTAGTATCTGAGAACAAAGTTTCGTTATCTACGTACATACCCGTAGCCTTTACGGCGAAATCTTTTAATTCCAATGTTGACTAACTTCGTAATTAGAGCTTCCTTTCAATCTTTCGGACTAAAGGAAAGTTGACTCGAAATTCTTCAAAGAATCTGCAGCCGAAAGGAAGCGCGATAATGATACGTAGGGATACCCTATGTGTATATGTATGTGTGTGTGTGTGTGTGTGTATATATATATATATATTTATTTACTATTTATGTATATATTGCCGGCAGCCGGTGTCCTGATTAAAGAAAGAACGTTTTAAAGATAGCCCTCATTTTTTTTTCTCGCGATGGTGTAAGAAAATCGGAGATTTCCTTAACATTTTGATTTTTAGAAGCAGTTTGAGATTATTTATAGTGTCACATTACAATCGCATTCATTTAATTAGGACACGGTCGTATTAATCAATCGCGTGATATATCTACATCGAAGTATTATTAACTTACGGTTTATGTAAAATATCAATATCAAAAAAATCTTCTAACGGATGTTTACACACTCTTCTCTACAGCAGCTAGCGTGGATGTGTGATAAGGATGCTAGTGTATTATACAAAAGTTTATACGATATTATTATTCTCGCTTCGGCATTTATGGTACCAGCGCGAAGCGACGGCAGTAAGACATCGTCAGAAAGTATAAGTGTACAAAAGATCGCTTCTGCTATATGTACTGTTATATTAATCGCATTAACTTCCACTTTGATTCACTTAACACGTTGTAGACGAGTAATGGATATTACACGGTATTACGTTTTATTTCCGATCCGATCAAATGTTTGAAGATAAATAGATGAGATGTGTTTTCCTTTGGCTAATTTCGATTCAATTTTTAACGAGAAATAACAACTTTTGTTGCGTAATTATTAAATCGGCGAAAGCAAAGTTATTCTTCTTTTTTATCATTAAAGAGAAAGAAAATGAAAAGAAATTAGAGAATCGATGCTCGTCTTCGGAATTTGGATATTCCATCGCAACGATTTTGAATCGCTGCCAATTTTGTCTAATTCACAGTTGTCGAGATTATTATCGAACTACAATATGTTAAGTATACTCATACCAGTTATTCCGCACTTTTCGCCTATTCGCACAACCAAGTAAGTATACGATTAGTTATAAAAATAAGTCTCTTTTTCTGCGATTCGTAGCGCGTGTTTTTGATGGGAAAGCGTTTTGTTCGCCGCGGTTCGTCGTTTGATTGTGGAGAAGAGTCTCCGGCGCGTTTAGACGCGCCGCGTATACACTAAACCAGACAAAAAGAACATACGCTGTCTGCGTGTGATTTTAGGCTCGACAAAAATAGCGATGCCAATAAGAAGCATCTTATGTCGTACCATTTGTAATCGCGCGTAAATCGAAGACAATATGAATATATTGATTTCCCAAATGGCTTTTTTTGCGTTGAATTGGAGAATATGCAAAACTCCCTAAGTATGAGAGTTTGCATTGTTTAAAATTTTTAAATCTATATGCTTGAATTGTGCGATTTAGAGCAATAATATATTGTAATTACATAATATAAATGCGTATGTAATTTTTGTTACTTCGTATGTTTGTTTCTCTTCTCATGCAAATAGAAAAGAACTTTTCCGCGGTCACCTACTTAAATATGTAATCTCAAAACGGTATTTGTGATATAAAAACAAGAAACTATCAGTTACCTAGAATATATGAAGTAATGCCGAATACAGAAACTTCGGTAAACTTCATTTAAAAATTGTACGTAAATAAATATATATACGTATAAAAAAAAACAATGAGTTGCCTACCAATTAGACACTCAAGTACGTACCCGTACTAAATAAAATGACTTGATTATCGGTCTTTACTAGACCTGGATTTATAATAAAAAAAAAAGTAAAAAATGTCGCGAACTCAAGTTACGTTGTAAAACTGACCGATTGAATATTTTCGATTTTTAGAATTTTAATTCACTTCTTCATTTTGTCAATTTTGATCGTAAACAATTGATCATATGAAACACGAAAAATTTGACTTTTGTTTTTTACTTCATCTTTACTACTCATCTTTCAGTGATGCTTTCATTTTATCAATTTAGAGTTTTATTAATAGTATCGTTCAACTTTCAACTCTTCAAGCTACAATATCAGTTTTTTCCGGTTTAGTATCTCGAAATTTATACAAGTCTTTTCAGAGTTATATATTAGCATGTGTATTTACATTTATATAAATTTTGAGATCGCGTAGATAATATTGTAAATCGAAGAATTAATCGTACGCACGCAACACTAAGTCAACTGTTGTTTAAGTAATATATTGCTCAAAGGAATGTGATAATTCCTCGAGTTTGATGATTACGAACCGAAAGTGCGTTATTGCTCCATCGTGTACGCACTTCGAACACGCTCGACTCTTTAACACCTTCAAAACTTAAAAAATGAGATATTTTCTGTTTCATTAATATTCTCTTTGAGGTTTTATTCTCTTGGAAGTGTTAAAAATGACTTCCGCCGCAATAGTATGATTTTTGCTCGTTTAAATCGATCACACGCGTATTACCTGTATAGAATATCTCATAATGCATAGACCTAATTTGAATAAACGTACCTTCGCAAATTGTTTGCTTCGGCTTGTGAAGCATTGAATCAGTACGCAACTTTTGCGTTATCACTCTTCGCATATTTTATATTACTTTGTCATAAATAATTTTACGTTAACTCTATATCTATATTATGAGACTTCACAATCTATCTCAGTAAGATTAATTTTTCATCATTGTAAAAGAAATATGTTATGATCTAATGTCTTTTCAGTGTTTAAGAAAAACGATCGAAAGCGATATTGAGAGAGAAACTAAAACT